AGGGGTGCGCACTGGACCACCCTGCCCACCAAATGCTTTACACAAACCCTTGTAGCGGTTTAGGTTTTAGGGTTTAGGGTTTAGGGTTTGTGGGGCGAAAGCATTGTAAAGGCCCCTTAGAACCCCAAACTTGAACTTTCTGAACCAGTAGATCCTTCTACAGGAACCTATAAACCGCATAGAACCACAGAGCCCTGTACAAACACGCCCTAAATCCTGTACAGAACCCTAAGCTCTAAACCCCTAAAATCCCAAACTCATCGATCCCGAGTCGGCAAAGGAGGAACAGCTTCTTGAAAAGCTCTTCGTCCGCCCTGAGGACTTAGAAGAGCGCGGGGCTCAGGCTTCTTATAATTAATTTGTTTGCGTTTTGTGGTTGTGGTTGTGTGTGTGTGTGTGTGTCTCTGTCTGTCTGTCTGTCTGTCCGTCCGTCCGTCCGTCCGTCCGTCCGTCCGTGCGTCCGTCCGTCCGTCCGTCCGTCCGTCCGTCCGTCCGTCCGTCCGCCGGCCTGCCTGCCTGCCTGGCTGTCTGTCTGTTTGTCCGTCTGTCTGTCTGTCTGTCTGTCTGTCTGTCTGTCTGTCTGTGTGTGCGTGTGTTTGTGGGGGGGGAGGGGGTTCGGGGTTGAGGCTGGGGTTTTCGGGATATATTGGGGTGCACATCGGAACAAACTATAATGAGCTTTCTGGTGTCTATAAGAGGCTTCCTGGGCCCAAAAGCCCAACGGGATAACACTCATAGAAAGAAGTTCGGGTTGAGGTAGGAATTAACCGTTGCAGAATCGATGCTTACGTTTAGGTCCTCAAGACATGAGCACCCAAAGCCCTTAAACCTTAGACTGTGGAAAGTGCCAGAGCCCTAAAGCCGAAGGCCCTGAAAGTCTAAGACCGATAATCCTGTAAAAAAAGGCCCTAAAAATCAAACCTGTGTATCTGGTGAGGGCTTGCAGGCTTGCACATGTACATCTCAGGGTTTGGAAAGTTTAGGTATTCGAAATTTGCGGTTTCGGGGTTCGGATTGAAACCCAGCTCTTGCATGGCTAGAATATACCGGCTAGATAATCTACCCAAAACCCTACTCTATTTATCAAGGTCCCTTTATATATACATCTAACATGGACACTATGTCTATGGTTCGATGTTTCCTGCTCCTAACTACCACAGACAACGCCTGGACTGGGTTGGCGGTTTGCTTCTCGAGCCAACCCTAATAATTGAACCATCGCCTTACAGCCCGAAAAACCCTAAACCCTAAACCATCCTGTTTGCTTGGCTTTCCAGTGCCATGGTGGAACCTTTATCTTCGTTGTCTTTAGGGG